TACTTCTTACATGTTGAACCCAAATACCTGTACTTTCTACTTCTTACATGTTGAACCCAAATACCTGTACTTTCTACTTCTTACATGTTGAACCAAATACCCTGTACTTTCTACTTCTCACATGTTGAACTCAAATACCTGTACTTTCTACTTCTTACATGTTGAACCCAAATACCTGTACTTTCTACTTCTTACATGTTGAACACAAATACCTGTACTTTCTACTTCTTACATGTTGAACCCAAATACCTGTACTTTCTACTTCTTACATGTTGAACTCAAATACCTGTACTTTCTACTTCTTACATGTTGAACCCAAATACCTGTACTTTCTACTTCTCACATGTTGAACCCAAATACCTGTACTTTCTACTTCTTACATGTTGAACTCAAATACCTGTACTTTCTACTTCTTACATGTTGAACACAAATACCTGTACTTTCTACTTCTCTCATTTTCCAAACCGGCTGGTTCCTTTAGTTTGAATGTGTGTTTGGTGGCGTGATCATTATTATTTAGAGTCATTGCGTGCCTATTGATTTGAACACGATCCGTGTATCCATCATTTCCTGGTCTTCTCTAAAGAAGAGGGACCAATGAAAACGTTGTCATGTTGCCGTTGTTCAGCATGGAAACATTCATTAGCTAACAATGACATTATTGTTCTATTAATATAAAGGGAGGTCAGGTACTCTTTAAAGCAGCTGCTAGTTATGGGTACTTTTTACTGAAGTACATTTCAAAGCCCTCTTTACTTTGACTTGAGTAAAGAAGTTTAGTCAGTACTTCTACTTTCACCAGAGTATTTTTAAACACGAGTATCTGTACTTCTACTTCAGTAAAGGATGGACTTTTCCCTCTCACACCCATTTCTGAGAGACTTTGAATCACAACTGGCTCAGAAACAAGTCTCTTTGACCCGCTGCAGCACACACACACACACACAGACAGACACACACACACACACACACACACACACACACACACACACAGACACACACACACACACACACACACACACACACACACACACACACACACACACCACACACACACACACACACACACACACACACACACACACACACACACACACACACACACTCTCTCTCTTTGATGTGGGCGGGACAGTATCATCTGTGAGTAATCTCTCTCCTGTCATTAACAGCGACTTCTATTTATACTGCGACTCGTGCTCGGAGACAGGAAGTTGTTTTATTCATTTAGGTCATAAATTAAATACTATGACTTTTTTATCCTTTTTCGACATGCTGTGAGTGTGAAATCTGTGAGTGTTAACATGTAAACTAAATTAAATAAATAATTGTGTGTGCCACGTCTTTGAATGACATCGGAACATCTGACACGACACGAGGGAGTCTCCTTCAAAAAGGAGTTTAAAACTAAAATAAAGACTCAGGGAGGAATTACAGGAAGTGTCTTTGGCATGAAGTAAACACTGTGTCTGTACACACACACACACACACACACACACACACACACACACACACACACACACACACACACACACACACACACACACACACACACACACACACACACACACACACACACACACACACACGCTGTTTTAGGAGGGTTTTCTGGTAGTCTAACCCACAACACGTTACCCATCGATCCTCAGATTGTGATTGGACGACGTTGGCACTCTGTAAGTCATGAATGAAGATGTTTGTGATGGTTTAAAGTCTGAACACATGTTGGTTTCTCTCTAGGTGTTTCTTTATCCAACTCTATGTCAGACACTTAAACATGATGAATTCCCCGTAACGCTGCAGGCTCTCTCTGTTTGGACTGAGTTTCTTTCCGTATCTCGGGCCAAACTCAGCGCCCGTCCTTTTTTAGCAGCTTTAAAGTTTTACGTCGCCGCCTTTTTGACCTCGTGCTCACGGCTTTAACAGAATAAATGTTTTTCAACGTGAGGAAAGGAGTTCCTGCTGCACCTCGTCCTCTGGGGGAACTCAGCGTCACGTCCTGACATCACTATTCTGTTTTCTGGTAGTCTAACCCACAACACGTTACACATCGATCCTCAGATTGTGATTGGACGACGTTGGCACTCTGTTTAATACAACTTTAACTAGACAGCGTTTCTGTGTGTGTGTCGACGTGACCTGAAGACACACACCTGCTGCACACTCACTGCTGAGCACTTATACACAGATTTACTATTAATAACTTTAATATAATTATAGATATTACAACACCACTGAACATTTTGTAATTTACACATTTTACCTAATTATTGTTGTTATTTCCTTTAGATCAATGTGCACCATTCAACATGCTATGTTAATATACTTATTATATTGATTTTGTATTTCTTAAATCAAGCAACTGTATTAAAACCCACATTTTCCCAGGGATATAAATAAAGCGTTTTTTATTCTACTTCCTCAAATAATCATTAAATGCTTTTAGTTTCTCCTTAATTAGTACCAAACCTGTGTAAAATATATTATATACATATATTTAAAATAATAAAAAGACAAAAGCAAGCATTAATGGGAATTTGCAGGGTTTTAAAAATTGCTCAAAATAATTGTATATTTTAATTATTCTTTGCTTGATCCATATAAAAGGGTTAGGGTTCCACTGAAAGGGTTAGGGTTAGGGTTCCACTGAAAGGGTTAGGGTTAGGGTTCCACTGAAAGGGTTAGGGTTAGGGTTCCACTGAAAGGGTTAGGGTTCCACTGAAAGGGTTAGGGTTGGAGAAGGGAGTTCCACAGGGCTCTATCTTGGGGCCCTTGCTCTTTTTATTATATGTAAACAATATTTGTAATCAGATGCAATTTTCTACCTATCATATGTATGCTGATGACACTATTGTATACTCGTGTGCTCCTTCTCTGGATATGGCCGTTTCCAATTTAAAATCTTGATTCCAAACTGCTATTGAACAGTAAGAAAACCAAAGCAATGCTTTTTGCTCCCAAGTCAGCGTCCTCTTGCCTCTCCATTGACACCCTTGATGGTGTCTCTGTTGTCATTGCAAACTGTATAGCCTAACTGGATGGTCCTCACTTACTATGCGTAGGATGCAGCACTGGTTTTTATTAATGTATAAAGCCATTTTAGGAAAGCTTCCACTCCACATATGTGTCAGATTTGCCCCAGTTAGTGACTCTTACAACCTCAGATCCAGTGCCTGGAGACGGGTCCAGGTTCCTACTGTACGGACTGAGGCTGGAAAAAGGAGTCTTTCTTATTATGGTCCTTGGTCTTGGAATGACCTTCAATCACGCCTCAAACTGAGGGCACTTGTCTCTATAGCATGCTTTAAATTGAAGTTGTCTGAAGTCCTCACCACCAGCTGCTCTTGCAGTAACAAGTAGTGTACCTTTCTTACTGTCCTAATGTGCACAATGTAGTGACTGCTTTTCGTCTTTTGGTTTCTTAGTTATGTTCTCTGTATTTTATATGTTTGTGTTATGTGTTATGTGTAACGTTGCTGCCTTCTTGGCCAGGTCAGCATTGAAAATGAGATTTTATCTCAATGCTTTTATCTGGTTAAAGGTGGGGTAAGTTTGAGGAACCGGCTCGAGATACACTTGTTGTTATATTCCATGGAATGCTCTTAACATCCCGATAGCAATGAATATCTGAAGTGCTTTGACAGAAAATCCATAAATAAATATCATCTGTGGAAGCTGTAGTACTGTAAACAGCACGACCAATCATCTGAGCCGGCCCGGCTAAAATAACTGGATGGCCTACCTGCCTGTCAGCCTTCCATCGGGGCACAAACTTATCTGGTGCCCTCATTGGTCATGTGCGTGTGTGTTGGAGGAGGGGCTCTGTGAGGAAGTGGCAGATTTTTTCCGGCTGTGTATTTTCAAATTTTAGCGATCTCAAGCTGGTTTCTCAAAATGACCTACCCCACCTTTAAATAAAGGTTAAATAAAATAAATAAATAAATAAAGGGTTAGGGTTCCACTGAAAGGAGAACATAATTATTCTAATCAAGACCTGAGTACTTCTACTTTGACTTAAGTAAAAATATCTGAGTACTTCTACTTGTACTCAATTACAAGATCTGAGTACTTCTACTTTGACTAAAGTACAAGCTCTGAGTACTTCTACTTTTACTCAAGTACAAGATCCGAGTACTTCTACTTTTACTCAAGTACAAGATGTGAGTACTTTGACTCAAGTACAAGATGTGAGTACTTTGACTAAAGTACAAGATGTGAGTACTTCTACTTTGACTCAAGTCCAAGATGTGAGTACTTCTACTTTGACTCAAGTACAAGATGTGAGTACTTCTACTTTGACTCAAGTACTCACATCTTGTACTTTGACTAAAGTACAAGATGTGAGTACTTCTACTTTGACTCAAGTACAAGATGTGAGTACTTCTACTTTGACTAAAGTCCAAGATGTGAGTACTTCTACTTTGACTCAAGTACAAGATGTGAGTACTTCTACTTTGACTCAAGTCCAAGATGTGAGTACTTCTACTTTGACTCAAGTACAAGATGTGAGTACTTCTACTTTGACTCAAGTACTCACATCTTGTACTTTGACTAAAGTACAAGATGTGAGTACTTCTACTTTGACTCAAGTACAAGATGTGAGTACTTCTACTTTGACTAAAGTCCAAGATGTGAGTACTTCTACTTTGACTCAAGTACTCACATCTTGTACTTTGACTAAAGTACAAGATGTGAGTACTTCTACTTTGACTCAAGTACAAGATGTGAGTACTTCTACTTTGACTAAAGTCCAAGATGTGAGTACTTCTACTTTGACTCAAGTACAAGATGTGAGTACTTCTACTTTGACTCAAGTACTCACATCTTGTACTTTGACTAAAGTACAAGATGTGAGTACTTCTACTTTGACTCAAGTACAAGATGTGAGTACTTCTACTTTGACTCAAGTCCAAGATGTGAGTACTTAAGTGAACACAGTTTTAGGGTAACATAACATCAGAGTTTTCTTGAAGAACCAGAGACGCCTCCTTCGTGTACATCCTTTAAACTTTAATGGTGAAGCAGAAAAACAAAAACAATAAAATAAATTAGATTAGAAAAATGCCACAAGCACATTAGATTTGTACAACAAAGCAATGCAACAGACTTACACTTCCATATATACAGAATAAAAAATAGACTTTTTATTCTTTGTCCACTTCGTTCAGTGTCTCCATAAAAAGATACTTTCTTTTCCTTTTTTTTTTCCGCACTGACATTTTGTTTGTGTCCCAGAAGAAGAAGAGCGTCCCCTCCATCTTATAAAACAATACAAATAACAACAAAGCGGCGTGACTTCATCAGAAAGGGACCGATACTCTTATTAACTTTTGGTGACAAGTCGACAATACTGATATAAACACGTACGACACGGAAACACTCAGAAAACAACACAATCTGGTGGATTGTCTTTCAGTTTGTAAAGCATTGTGGGAAATGGAGTTCTTGATGTGCAAAGAAATAAAAACATGAATCTCAAAGGAAAAGCATAAATACAAAAACATCCCTCTTTATGAAACTTCAGTGAATTTTCTGTCTTTTTTTTACCCACAAAATGGACATAAATCAGATTGGACGTTGACTTTTTTTAGTTTTTTTTCAGCGTCATTGAACGCAACTTCAACAGTTTTCTCTCTCACACAAACAAGTGCACAAACCCGACTCTTTGGTGTTCTAACGCAGACTAAAAACTGGACAAAACAACAACAAAAAATCATTCAAATGTGTTTTAAAACCTCTTTGTCACCGGTACCAACTGCTAGCTGCTTTCCACTTCTAACCAAATCAGTAAATACGAATCATCCGGGATCATCCATGTGAAACGACAACGTCAATGTATCCAAAGTGCATTCAATTAACCTTGACTGATTACCATTAGCATCATTTAGCTATATTATGCTAATTAATGCACATTTTTGGTGTTTAAAACCCGTTTGAGTGGCCTCCTGTTAATACCAATTAAAACACCCGGTGACACTAAGAGAGACAAAGATATACATTTATTTTACCGAGTTTTGTTCTTGTGCTTAAGTTTAGCGCTTGGCTAGCTGTCAGTGAATATCTAGGCTTTGTCTGAGCGCAGAAATGTCTGATTATATTTTTAGTTTTGAGGCAAATGCACATTTTTATTCTTCTTTTAAGTGCTTTTTGTTCATCTTACTGCTACGTTTAAGTTCATTAGCGCTCTGGATCTCACCCTCGGTCTTTTTTTTAATCGTTAAAACATTTGTCATGCTACAGACGTTAAATGTTTTGTATTGAGTAGCTTTCGAGCTAACTGACCAGATAGCATTGCTACCTGTTAGCCTGTAGTTGCTAACAGCACATGGAGATCAAATCTTCTGTATTTTAATGCAATATCTTCTTAGTTTTTTACATTTAAAACAGATTGTGGGTGCATCCTAGTCATACTTAATATACTTGAATACTTTAATGCCAATAATAATAAATAATCCATTAGCGCACTGGGTCTCAACACGTTAGCCACCAGCTAGCAAACTGACGCTACGTTCAAATGAATGGAAAAAACATATTTTTCAAATTTGTATTTTTACGTGATTCTTTAAACATTGATATATTTTTCCACAGCTTCTAATTTGAGTTATGTTGGAGATCTAATACAAATGGGATTTTATTTCCAAAAACTTAGGGAAGGTTTTGAGAAAATCGTTAAAAAATGTCCACTTAAAATTGAGAAAATGAAGAAAAGGTTTTTGTGAAGTTCAGTCATTTTTAAGGCTTTTTAAAATCTGGCCTTCAATTTAAAACATTTAAAGTTTGTTTTTTGACGTTACGTCTCTGGCTAATCTGAGTGTCGCTATAGTGCAAACATATACACATCAAATGAAAACAACACAATAATAATAATAACACAAAAATTCAGCCTAAATATTATTAACAATAATATTATTAATATACTTACGGACAATAATAATTATAACATTAACATGGTAACAAAAGAAGTGTTTGGTTCCAGCAGCCGGGCCAACTTGTTTCTTTCAAGTATCTCTCAACACACGCACACGCACACGCACACACACGCACGCACACACACACACACACACACACACACACACACACACACACACACACACACACACACACTTCCAAAAAAACAATACAAAAAGAGTCTTCTTCTGCTTTCCTTGACAGAAAGTAAACAAGGTAAAATAAGTAATACGTGAAACAAGTTGCATAGTTTTGAGATTTTTTTTTTGTTAGTAGTTTTTCAGGCACCTCGTCTCTCAAAGATCCGACAGGTGGAGCGGTGCTTGAACGTCTCAGCCACATAAATAAGCTCCTCCTCCTTTTGTAGCAAAAATATATTAGATATTCTTTTTTTTGTTCTTTTTTTGTTCTTTTCCGAAAGTGCCGTGGAGACGCTTTCTTTCTGAGTTCTGATGGACGGAGAGGTTTAATCCCAAAAAGCGTCTTGAGCGTCCGAAGTCTTTCCAACCCAGTTTAGATGTAACCACGTAGAGCATCTTCTCCAAAGTAAATAGCGCAAAATAGCGCTTTTTAAATATTGAACCTGGTATCCTTTAATGTGTGCACTATGCAATGGAACGTTGCACCAAAAGTACTCATTCCACTTATTTTTAAGACGAAATATCTGACTTTTCTGCCAATACTCGTCCCGCCCTGATCAGTTAAATGTTTTATATAATTTTTTGATTTAGTTTGTTTTAGTTTTTAACGCCAGGAAACCAAACTTAAATACAAAATGCACAAAAAAATTCAATTTTATCTGAATCTGATTGGTTAAAAACGGAATACTGGCTTCTGATTGGCCTAAAAAAACAAAACTCTGTATACATCCATAACGCAGTCGCTCAGAAGAAGGTTTTTAATTCTGCGTCTAATTAAGAGCCTTTGAGCACCAGGAAAAGCGCTATAAAAATGTAATGTATTATTATTATTAATATTATTACCAATCTCTTTATACATCCATGACGCAGTCGCTCAGAAATCGGCTTTTAAATCTAAACTGGGTTGTAAAAAACAAATCAAAAATCCCCAGACGCCTCGTTCGGGGTCCAGATCCTCCAGAAAACGTATTCTCTTGTTTTTGAAAAGTCTACGAGCAGCCGCACTCCTCCACCACCATGTTCTGGATGTCCTTCTTGATGATCCTCTGCTCCTCGTTGTAGTAGAGCATGGACATGGCTCGTAAGCGCGTGGGCACGCAGCAGGACCTGAGGTTCTGGAACGGGCTGTAGCCTCTCATCCGGTAGTGGCTGATGACGGTGGAGTGGAAAGATAACGAGGATCCCGTGATGCTCGCTACGTGAATCGGACAATCTCCCTCGCAGTAGTTTGCCGTGTAAACTTGCGGCGCGATGATCCAATCGTTCCATCCGATGTCTTTGAAGTTGACGTGAAACTGCCTTTTGCAGCAAACTCGCACTTTCCCGTCGCATTCGAGCCCTCGTTTCTTTCGTCGCCTCGATTCCACGTTATCCTCCGGGCGAATTACCGCCATCAGGAAGGGACGATGGGATTGTTCTCGTTGGTTTGATCGACCCGAAACGAGGACTAAATTGGCACCGACTTCAGGGCACAGAGGGCAGGACACTCGGAGATTTAGCGTTGATTCGCCGTCGCTTTTCAGCAGCGCTGAAACCGCAGAAGAGACGGAGAAAGTGTGCCAGCCGCTGCGTCGAGTGTCCACGTTTTTCTCCGCCAGCAGGACGTCGTTCTGGTCGTTGTCTCGCTGCTGGAAGAGGCGGATGGAGACCTTCGCTCGGCTGCGGTTGGTTTTGGCGAGGCGGAGGAAGAGCCAGACGTTGGCCTCGTCCACCAGAGAGACGTCAGAACTGCCTTCTTTAGAGAGGACGAAGTTCACCGAGCCCGGAGAATCACCTGAGGCACAGAGAGAGAGAGAGAGAGAGAGAGAGAGAGAGAGAGAGAGAGAGAGAGAGAGAGAGAGAGAGGGTCAGAGGTCAGGAGAAGTATTCAACACATTCTACTTATTTTTAAGATGAAATTGCTTTTTTGCAAGAACTCTTCCCACTCTGCTCTTTCAAACATTTTTCATAATATCAACACAGCCGGTCGAAAGCGAGCTTTAGGCTCAAACTTTGATTTAATTATGATGATTGCTTTCCATCGAGGTTTCTGCCAGTTTGACTTTGCGAGCTCAATTGTTGTGTTTACATTTCATTTCCATTGACTTCTGTAAAGACTACCCTCAGAAAACATGTTTTAACCAAGTAAGCATCAACTTGTGCACCAGACGTCATGGAAAAGGCACCAAAAGTACTGATTGGACTTATTGTTAAGATGAAGTCTATGGCTTTATTGCAGGGAAACTTCCCACCCTGCTCTTTAATACCATTTTGATATTTAGTTTTAGTTTTTAGCAGAGAAACCAAAGTTAAATACAAAAAATCCACCAAAGAAAATCTGACTCTTGGTGGATTCTGATTGGCAAAAGAAAAATATTCAAGTCGACAGTTTAACTTCTGGTCTGCATTAACTGCAAACAGCAGGTAACCATAGCTACGGTGGTGTAACCAACCTGACCACACACACACACACACACACACACACACACACACACACACACACACACACACACACACACACACACACACACACACACACACACACACACACACACACACACACACACACACACACACACACACACACACACACACACACACACACACACACAGCTGACTCAGCAGTGGTTTTGCAGTAAGTGTTCCCAGTGACTGGATTTACAGCGTCTGAAACTACGTGAAGTTTAATTTCTCCTGTTCAGAGTTACAGAGGTTAGAGAAGAACAGCGTGTTATTATGGGATGGAGCAGAGAGAGTGGTTTCATAACGTTTTCCCTGAGAGACTTTCTGCTTTATGGTCCTATCAGTATTTCACTTTTGAATCGAGTGTCTCTCCTGGGACATGTCCTCGTGCTTTAATGTTCTCATACTGCCTGTGCTGGAGCACCTCTTTTCACCCTCTGTCTGAAACCAGAGCCCAGTCTACTCTGATTGGTTAGGGCTCTGTTGTGATTGGTCAACCAGCTTAGAGATGTCCCGCCCCCTTAGCCTATCACTACAATGTGTTGGAGCGCTAGCCAATAGGAGTTTTCCATAGTGATGTCACTGTGTTTCAGGCAACATACTGTTAACAAACAACGCAGGTACTGTCACAAACAAACACACACACACACACACACACACACACACACACACACACACACACACACACACACACACACACACACACACACACACACACACACACACACACACACACACACACACCTGTATTTAACATGTCCTAGAAACCTCAGGTCTAATGACAGGTTTAAAGAGCCATTACAGCGTTACGTAACATCACCTCTCCGTGTGTGTGTGCGTGTGTGTGCGTGTGTGTGTGTGTGTGTTTGTGTGCTTGTGTGTGTGCGTGTGTGTGTGCGTGTGTGTGTGTGTCCCTCTCTCTTTAATGTATCTCGCTCGTGGGCGTCCATAGAGAAAATAAAAGTCACGATTTGTGAGTTTATGAATGTCAGCAGCCGTGATGCTGGGCAAAGAGAGCGTGTGTGTGTGTGTGTGTGTGTGTGTGTGTGTGTGTGTGTGTGTGTGTGTGTGTGTGTGTGTGTGTGTGTGTGTGTGTGTGTGTGTGTGTGTGTGGAGGCGGTCAGCACTTAGCGAGTCCATTAACGCCGTTTAACCGACAATTCGGAGGCGATTATCACACTTACATCATCAGCGCTTCAGAAGATAACATAAAATATTTTTTTTATAAAAACTCTTTCTTTCATTCATCGTTTCTCAGAATAGTTTGTGAGGAAGTAGAAGAAGAAGAAGAGGAGGAGGAGGAGGAGGAGGAGGAGGAGGAGGAGGAAGAAGAAGGTCTTTGTTTTAAATCATCTGCAGCGTAAAGCAGCAATCTGTTAGTGTGACGAAGAACGGACTAAAATAATATCACAAACACCTCCTCCGGATTCCTATCAGAGTATTTACTAAGTGAATCCGCTCTGAAGCAGGTCTCCTCCAGCAGCTGGTGGGCCACTGAGAGCAGGGAGTGAACCTGCGTCTAACTGCCAATCAAGGGGAAGCTAATACAGAACATATCTGGATCTATACATGTGGAACTTTACGGGGGAAGAATCTGATCCTCCTCTAATAATAAACTGGTACATTTACAATACAAATAGATACAAATAGTTGAGATGAAAGTCTATTTCTATTTGATAGAACATTCTCCCAAAGGTATATGTTTTTTCTTAAATCATTCTTTACAATTACAGTCACAGGTTTATTAGATAAAATTGCAAATAGAACATTTTATAATTTAGTTTTCCTAACCCATTTCATCGAAGAGAAAAATCCATGTTTTTCCGTGAATTTAGGATTTTTATTCTTCTCATAAATCTATGAATTAAATCTTGGAGATTCTGAGTATTATTTGAAACCCCTTCACTCGGCTCTCTGGAATTTATATTTATTTATTATTTATTTATTGTTGACCTGCAACGGCCCTGATAGGTGACCGAGTGGAGAGCAACATGTTGAAAGAGCTGCTCAGAGGAAGGCTAATAGCACGTTAGCTAACAACAGGTTAGCAGCAACAGGTTGTTACGGAGCTAATGACAGACGAGTGTGTGTGTGTGTGTGTGTGTGTGTGTGTGTGTGTGTGTGTGTGTGTGTGTGTGTGTGTGTGTGTGTGTGTGTGTGTGTGTGTGTGTGTGTGTGTGTGTGTGTGTGTGTGTGTGTGTGTGTGTGTGTGTGCGTGTGTGTGTGTGTGTGTGTGTGTGTGTGTGTGTGTGCGTGTGTGTGTGTGTGTGTGTGTATATGTGTGTGTGTGTGTGTGTGTGTGTGTGTGTGTGTGTGTGTGTGTGTGTGATACAGACACAGTGTTTACTTCATGCCACAAACACTTCCTGTAATTCCTCCCTGAGTCTTTATTTTAATCTCCTTTCTCCTGAAGGGTCCTTGAATGCAACGAGCTGTGACTTTGGTCCAATAAAAGATTTACAGAATAGCAAAACCATGCGGACATATCCCCAAAACCTCCCATCTCATCTGCTTCTCTTCTGAACACACCAAGGTAAACTATGGGCAGAGTTGATAGAAGCTTGACTCAGTGAACCTGGTTCATCACACACCTATTTTAAACCATTCAAACTCAACTTTGACCCAAAAACCCAGTTAAAGCTACAAATATCCAAATGTAGATAATCCTAAGCATCAAACCAGTCAGACATTATGAAACCAGTTCAACGATAGAAAAACGATTCAAATCCAGTTTAAACCGATATAACTCCAGTTTGGGCATCACACCATCACACCCCTTACAGACCATTACAAACACAGCTAAGATAAATAGACAAGTCCATTAAAAACTATGTTCAGCCCATCAAATATCCAGTTTGGACTAAAACACGCCAATATTGTTCATCACAGTTTAAACCCTTAAAACCCAGCTTCGACCCTGAACACGCAGTTTAAGCTCCAATTATCCAACTTAGACGACGAAAAGCCGAGTTTGACCATCAAGTAACCAGACCATTATGAAACCAATCATACTTTGAACAAACGAGTTAAATCGAGTTTAAAGTGATATGACTCCAGTTTAGGCATCACACCAGGATGACATTAAATACTAAGTCTATCCCATCAAATACCCAGTTTGGACTGGATCACGCCATCAAACCATTACAACTCAACCCTAACCCCCCAAATACCCAATTAAAGCTTGAAATGCCCAATGTAGACGATGCAAGCAGAGTTTAACCATCAAATGATAGAAAAACTAATCATACTTTGGAAAGTCCTGTTCAAACTGATTTACCTCCAGTTTGAGCCTCAGAACACCAAACCTTGATTAAACTTCGTGGTAGAGTTTTACTTCCAGCACTGTCAGTGTGTATCTGTAATATTTGGAAGCAGATCCAGCATGTGGTGCGTTCAGGGACACACAATAAAAAGCCTCCTGACACAAAATTGGACATTTAACTTTAGAAATATCATCCTAAGACTTCCCTTCGTAAAAAGCCAAGCCCCAGAAGAGGAAGAGGAAGAGGAGAGTTCTGTGTCTGCAGGTCGGCTCTTAACGACCTGAAGTGTCCGGAGGCAGGGAAATCAATCTGAGGAGGAACGCCCTGTGATTTAACTCGAGTAAGAAGCGCAGAAACAGGAAGTGTCTTCTTGGACTCAGTTTGAGTTCTGCGACTCGTCCGCTCACAGCTCGTCTCTCTCTCTAATCCCCCTCCACTTACTCACACACTGATGTCTCAACAAGTCATAAAACCTGATTTCTGGCCCTCCGTCTGACACACACACACACACACACACACACACACACACACACACACACACACACACACACACACACACACACACACACACACACACACACACACACACACACACACACACACACACACACACACACTGAAGGAAATCCTCCAGAATTCAGAGAAATGTCGACAGAATTTAATAAACTACTTTTTTAAGGACATAAAAATACAAATGTACGTCATCAAACCCAAAGTTAGCCAATCAGGAGCAGAGATCAGATGATATTTAACCCAGTTTAAGCCTTTAAATACCCAAAACACTACGGAAAGCCAAGTTTAGAAGATCTAATAACCGTGTCAGACCATTAGAAAACTATTTATACCATTAAAAAAACTCTTCAAATCCAGTTTGGACTTAAATGATCCTGTTCATCCCACACTCAGGGTACACCATTAAAACCCAACTTATACCCCCAAAAAAAACCCAGTTTAAGTTTCAAATACCCATTTTTTAGGATAATAAGCCAAGTCAGACCATAAAACTAGAAAACTATTTATACCGTTAAAAAATCTCTTCAAATGCAGTTTAAACAACTCCATCAAAAAC